GCATTCTTTACAATGGTAGCGATAATGATGATGATGATTGTGATGATGTTGATGATGTTGGTAGTGATAATGGTTGTGATGATGATGATGATGATGATGATGATGTTGGTAGTGATAATGATGATTGTGAGAATGATGATGAAGATTGTGATGATGATGTTGGTGATAGTGATGATGATGATGATAATGATGATGATGGTGATGATGATGATGATGTTGGTGATAGTGATGATTGTGATGATGATGTTGGTGATAGTGATGATGATGGTGGTGATTGTGATGGTGATGGTGATAATGATGATGGTGGTGATAATGATAATGATGATGTTGGTAGTGATAATGGTGATTGTGATAATGATGTTGGTGATCGTGATGATGATGTTGGTGATTGTGATGATGGTGGTGATAATGATGTTGGTGATAGTGATGATGATTCAATTCAATTCAAAAATACTTTATTAATCCCAGAGGGAAATTGATTGCTGTAGTAGCTCAGAATAATAATAATAATCAAGTCATCAAATAGTTATTGTATATTACAATGGCTGTTGGCAGGAAGGATCTCCAGTAGCGGTCAGTGTTGCAGCAAAACTGAAGAAGCCTCTGACTGAAGGCACTCTTCCGTTGTCGGACAGTCTTGTGAAGAGAATGCTCAGGGTTGTCCATCATTTTCTTGATTCTCTGGAGAATCCTTCTTTGCATCATCTCCTCCAGTGGTTCCACAGTCATCCCCAGAACAGAACCAGCCTTTTTTATTAGGCTGTTGAGCCTTTTCAGGTCCCTGCTTCTGATGCTACTACCCCAACAGACGATGGCTGAAGAGATTACACTCTCAACAACAGACTTGTAGAAGATGTGCAACATCTTGCTACAGACATTGAAGGACCTAAGCGTCCTCAAGAAGTGCAGTCTGCTGTGTCCCTTCTTGTAAATGGCTTCGCTGTTCTGTCTCCAGTCCAGTCTTTTGTCCAGGTGAACTCCAAGGTGTTTGTATTCCTCAACCACCTCCACTTCATCTCCCATGATGGATACAGTGTTTGACTCCACCCTGTTTCTTCCGAAGTCCAAAATCATCTCCTTTGTTTTGTTCACGTTCAAGGTCAGATGATTGTTTCCACACCATGCCACAAAGCGCTCCACCAGCTCTCTGTACTCAGCTTCCTGTCCATCTCTGATACACCCGACAACTGCAGAGTCATCTGAGTACCGTAATTTCTGGACTATAGAGCGCACCTCAGTATAAGCCGCACCGGGCTAAAAGCCGCAGATATCTACTGAATTGAAAACGTAGTTTAACTGAACGTAACTGAACTGATCAGTATCAAACAAAACAGAAAAGTTATTGATTAGTTTATTCATCGTCCTCTTGCGCACTGAAACCACTGAAGTCATCTTCTTCAGTGTCGGAGTAGAACAGCCTCAGAAGAGCTTCATCACATACCTTTTCTGTGGCGATGTCAGTGTTGCTCTCCGTGTTGCTGTCATCATCCCGGGGTGAAGCTGGGAAAACAAGCAGCGCCGTTTTACTGTGAAAAAAATCCTCCTGGGCACTTTCCGTAGCACTCCTTTAACCATTCCTTCATTAGACTTTCTAGCATCCATCCTTTCTGGTTGACTAAAGCTGCACCTCATTATAAGCCGCATACTTCAAAGCATGGGAAAAAAGTAACGGCTTATAGTCAGGAAAATACGGTATTTCTGTAGATGACAGGTCTCTGATTTGTACTGGAAGTCTGAGGTGTACAGAGTGAAAAGGAATGGCGAGAGTTCAGTCCCCTGTAGTGCTCCAATGTTACTGATCGCCTGGTTTGATGTGCAGTTCTTCAGCCTCAACCTGTGGTCTGTTTGTCAGGTAGTCTTTAATCCAGGCGATAGTTGAGGCCCCCACCTGTCTTCTGGAGTTTCTGGCAAAGTACATCAGGCTGAATTTTGTTAAATGCACTGAAGAAATCAAAGAGCATGACCCTCAGTGCTGCCTGCTTTGTCCAGATGACAGTGGGTTGGTTGAAGCAGCTGGATGATGGCATCTTCAACTCCAACTCCATGGCGATAAGCAAACTGCAGTGGGTCCTGATATGTTCTAGTTTGCTTATTCAGGTGGACCAACAGGAGTCTCTCCAGGACCTTCATGATGTGGGATGTCAGGGCAACCGGTCTGTAGTCATCATTGACTGATGGGCGAGTTTTCTTTGGAACTGGAACAAGGCAGGATGTCTTCCACAGGACGGAAACCTTCTCCTGGGCCAGGCTGAGGTTGAAGAGCTGCTGAAGAATCCCACAGAGCTGATCTGCACAGGCCTTCAGTACTCTGGGGCTGACACCATCTGGACCTGCAGCCTTGTTCCTGTTCAGTCTCTCCAGCTGCCTCTTCACCTGACTTCTAGAGACAGATAGGTGGGAGAGGGAGGTAATTGAGGCAGCAGCATCTCCTGACTTGGTTGAAGACAGATTTATAGAACCAGAAGAGTCCATGACTGCGTTAGAGGACAAAAGAGCTGGCATGTGACAGGAAAATGTTGGATCAGAGGAGGATGGGATGTCTGATTGGCTGGGGACAGGCGAGGAGGATGCTGGGTTTGTTCCTGAACTGAACCTATTGAAGAACTTGTTCAGTTCATTGGCTGTGTCCAGACTGCCATCTATGCAATCCTTCCTCTGCTTGAAGCCTGTGATCTTCTTCATCCCTGACCAGACATCTCTGATATTGTTCCTCTGTAGTTTGTTCTCCAGCTTCTTCCTGTATGCCTCCTTGCTGTCTCTGATCTTAATCTTCAGTTGCTTCCGTATACTCTTCAATAATTCCCTGTCTCCCTCCTTGAAGGCTCTTTTTTTCTCATTTAGCAGATTCTTCAGTTCACTGGTGATCCAGGGTTTGTTATTAGCGAAGCATCTCACTGTTCTGGTGGGTATGATGTTGTCCACACAGAAGTTTATATAGTCGCTGACACATCCAGTCATGGCATTGATGTCCTCTTCATATCCTTGGCAGAGAGTCATCCAATCTGTGGTCTCAAAACAACCCTGCAGGGCTTCTTCAGCGTCCTATGACCATTTTCTCACAGTTCTTCTTGTCACAGGTTACCTCTGAACAAGTGGTTTGTATTCTGAGCAGAGAAAAACAAGATTGTGATCTAATTGTCCCCAGAGGAGGTCTAGTTTTGGACATGTATGCATTCTTTACAATGTCTTGTTTTCTCTGGTGGAGCAGCTGACAAACTGATGAAATGTTGGAAGTGTAGCAGAGAGCGAGGCATGATTAAAATCACCAGATATAGCCACAAATGCATTGGGGTGCTGGGTTTGTAGCTTAGCGACAATGGAACTGATGGCATCACATGCACTTTCAGCAATGGCTGAAGGTGGAATATAAACAGTTGCCAAGACAACACTGGTGAACTCTCTTGGCAAATAATATGGGCGACAACTTACTGCCAAGAGTTCAACATCTGGGTTGCAGAGACGAAATTTCACTGAAACATGACCTGGATGGCACCATCTGTTGTTGACAAGCACTGCCACTCCACCTCCTTTTCTTTTCCCGCTCCTCTTCAGATCTCTGTCTGCTCGTACAGTCAGGAATCCTGGCAGAGAGACGCTGGAATTGGGGATATGGTCCTGCAGCCACATCTCAGTGAAACACATAACACTGCACTGCTGATAATCTGGCTGAGTCCTTGAAAGGGCTTGGAGTTTATCCATCTTGTTGGCCAGTGATCTCACATTGCCCATTATGATCGATGGAAGAAATGGTTTGAATTTCCTCTTTCTCTGTCTGTTTTGCTCCCGCTCTGCACCCACGCTTCTTGCGTTTTAGCTCATTTGGGATTTGTGGCTTCAGTTGAGGTATTATTTCAGCCTTTCCAATGTTAATCAGCTGCTCCCGATTGTAAACCAGCTTGTTGTCATGGTAATGCATCATACCATATGCTCAAAAAGTGGAAAAAATAGCACAGGATCAGAAACAGACAAGTAAAATGTCCAAAAAAATAGTTTTTCTTGAGAAACTAGAAGAAAAAATGTCTGAAAAAGGCAAAACTTACATATGGTCAGCAGAGCTACTCCAACATGCAGCCACCCAAAGCAGCGCAGTTCCAGAAACATGATGATGTTGTTGGTGGTGATAATGATGATTGTGATGATGATAATGGTGATTATGATGATGATGATTGGTATGGTGATTGTGATGATGCTGAAAGTGGTGATGATGATGGTGATAGTAATAATAATGTTGGTAATTGTGATGATGGTGGCAGTGGTGATGATGATGATGATGATGATGGTGGTGATGATGCTGAAAGTGATGATGATGATGTTGATAGTGATAATAATGTTGGTAATTGTGATGATGGTGGTGATAATGGTGGTAGGTATAGCAAACATTTTCTCATCCTTTTAGCAGAGACATAATCAAAGAAACTATTTTCTGTAAGTCTGCATCGTGTGTGTGTTTGGTCAGCGATTGTGAGGTTGCTCTGGGAAAAAGAGTGGTTGCCATGGCAACTAATATGAAAGAGAGGAGGTGAGATGGTAAGAAAGGTAGAAATTTTATGGCGTTGATTAGGCCATTTGAAGTTGGCCTGTTGGCTAATGAGCAGTTGTTTTATTGTGTGTGTGTGTGTGTGTGTGTGTGTGTGTGTGTGTGTGTGTGTGTGTGTGTGTGTGTGTGTGTGTGTGTGTGTGTGTGTGTGTGTGTGTGTGTGTGTGTGTGTATCTTATTGACAACATCACTGCTTTTTCAGCTTCTCAGACTCTTTATTACTCATCACACTAATTGTCAGAGAACAATGGGTGTATAAAGATAAAAGGGTAGTAAAATCAATATGGTTCGCTGCTTTCACACATACACACACACACACACACAATGACATACCATCAGCAGCTACTTCCCTAAGACAAACAAAAACATCTATGATCTGCGTCTCCAGCCTGTTCTTGTGGGGTTGGCTTCCTTCTCCTTTGGACTGATTCACCGCTGTTCTCCCTTCTTGTCTCTCCTCCAGTTCTGAAGCTCGGCCCAGAGGCTTTCAAGTTTGACAGCGGTCTGGAGGCGGTTGCTGTTCGGCAGAATGAGAAGTACTACATCCTGAGACCAGAGGTCATCGAAACCTACTGGTACATGTGGAGGTTCACCCACGATCCAAAATACAGGCAGTGGGGCTGGGAGGCAGCTCAGGTAAAAAAAAATAAACACTAATGCCACTTACACATTAGGATCAGTACAGTCAGGGAGAGGATAGTGTCAGTTCGGTCTTGTACGGGCAGTGTAGTGTTCACATGTAGTTCCAAAGGAGTTCTCAGGAATGCGGGAATCCCTGAGCGTGGGCGGTGTTTAAGACACGCAGGAAAGTCCATACCAAGATAAACAAAGGCGGGCATGACCTATGTTGCTTTTGGAGACTCTGAACCACATTGTTTAATTCATTTGCTGTGTGTGTCCTTCTGAAACTCTGTCGTCGCTGCTGCAGGCCACACACATACACTGCTGTCTCCTCCAACTTAGCAGCTGTCTGCTGGCTCGCTGGGGTGAGAGCTCCATGAAGAAGTGTTAAGCTGGGCGTACACTGTGCGACTTTTTCACTTTTTTGAGCTGATTTTCCACTCGTGCGAGAATACACAAGATTGGGGTGAGTTTTGCGCTGAGCGTCGTGTAGTGTACAGGGGGTTACGAGAGGCGATTAACACCACGTGACCAGCTACCGATCAGCAATCGTGAGCTCGCACGGACTTCTGGCGTGTTTGATATTTTGCTCGTCCCTCGTGAGGTATCGCACTGTTGAAGTGGCGCTGTGAGCGGCTGCGACCCAAAATGTATCAGAACCGCTCACGGCGCATGCGCAATCCTGCATCAACGCCGCTCGCTCGCTATTTCCCCAATAACACACGTTGTTCGTTTTTATTTCCACATGTTTTTTTACTCACAAATATTGTCAAGAAAGCGTGTTTGTCGTGTTCATGTCAAATTAAACTGATCACAAAACACAGATTTACTTTCTTGATTTCGTTTTCCTCATCCAACCCCCATAAATCCCTGTGTGTCCTCCTGCAGCACTCCCGAAAGACAACAGGCAAAACAAGACCAAAAAGTCTGACGTGTTGTGTAAAAACTGCTATTTTTATCATATTTTTAGGGCCGACGTTGTTGCTACCAGACGTACAGTGTGAGCAGTCAGGTCGCATCCAAGAACTGCGTCGTACAGTGTGAGCGCATGACTCGTGAGATCTGCCCTGCGAGGAAGTCGTACAGTTTGAGCTGAAGCTGAACGCTGCGAGTGAAAAAGTTGCACAGTGTCCGCCCAGCTTTAGCTGCTCCGAGGACATGGCCACATGCACACAGCTCTCTTCTCTTTTCCTGTTTCCACTGAACAGGAGCTCCGTGCTACAGACAGAGATGTTTACTCAACAGTATCAGCATTAAAATGAATCACGCATGCGGAACCCCTGCTGGTTTATTCTGCTAGCCAATCGGAGGTAGTAGGCAGGAATTTCTGCTGGCCAGTGAGTCCGTAGTGTCTCCTTGGTCCCAGTGGGACCTCTGGGGAGGAGTTCTGAAGAATGGAAAACTCATCTGTGGCCCATGTGTGAAACCAAATTCCAGTCCCGTACTCGACCGTACTGAGGCTAATGTGTTAGCTCCATAATAAAATCATCCTGATCAGCTTCAGTCCTACAAAAAGCTTATGGCTAATGTAAGTTCAGGTTGTTTTTGATAAGCTTCTTTGAATTTGAATGTAAATGTGAAGATTTCCTTTTGTTTCCATAACAAACTTCCATCTGTGTGAAATCTTCATGAAAATAGAAATGAAAGCTGTGAACAGCAACAAACAGCTCACCTTCTATAAGGGACCTAACCTGTCTTCTCTCTATAAGTCTGCTTCTGATCTCCGTCTGTTGTTTTTTCCTCCTTCTCTTGCTGCCGGTCTGATTTGTCACTTTCGCCGTCTCCATTTTTAGCAGCTCTTTGTTTTTCTGAGTGGGAGTAAATTCATATGAGCTGAAGTGCCAGGCAGGTGTGTTTATTAGCCGTGATAGTTCAGAGGATGAGCGACACTAAAGAGGGCTGCTGCTGAAGGCCTCGTCTTCCTGTTTAACAACACTGCTAAACGTGAACTAATGCCAGTGACAGGCCCTGTCTCTAGTCTTGCTTTTATCTCAGAGCACTTCAGCTGTTCGGTTCCTGCCTCACAGAGGTACGGGGAAGATTTTCTCTTCACTTGTTTGGTTTAGATGCTCACAGTGTTCTTACACAAGGTTTGTGGATGCTGTTCCTACTCAGGACTAAAATGATTATGTAGAAAACCTGGTATTAAAATAAGCAAACCTGAGTTAACAATTACTCACTCACTCAGTCATTATTCATAAAGCACCTTGCAGTCATGAGCATGCCACCAAGGTGCTGTACAATAAAAGAATAAAACAATAAAACATATAGCACCACAGACATAATTAAAACCACAAATAAGAATTACAAAATATAAAACATTAGCAATTGCTAACCCACAGAATTAAAAGCCAGATCATAAAGGTAGGTTTTCATCCTCATTTTAAAAACTGCTACTGATGGAGAGTCCCTAATAGTTAGGGGCAGTGCGTTCCACAGTTTTGGACCAGCAACAGAGAACGCCCTGTCCCCTCTCAACTTCAATCTGGCCTTAGGAGCCACAAGTAGCAGCTGGTTCTCAGAGCGGAGTGACCGGGCCGGAACATATGGCTGCAGCAACTCCGTCAGATAGGCTGGAGCCACACCATTCAGTGCCTTAAACACCATTAAAAGAAGTTTAAAACAAAATCTAAAATCAACAGGCAACCAGTGGAGAGCAGCCAAAATTGGTGTCACATGATCATGCTTCCTTTTGTTGTCCAAGAATCTTGCTACAGCATTCTGGACAAGCTGCAGCCGGTTTACAATACCCTTACTTGCACCAAATAAAACGGAATTGCAGTAGTCGAGTCGTGAGGTAATTCAATTCAATTCAATTTTATTTATATAGCACCAAATCACGTCAAGAATCATCTCAAGGCACTTCACATAATAAACATTCCAATTCAGGGCAGTTCATTAAGCTAATCAGAAAAAATGTTTCCTATATAAGGAACCCAGCAAATTGCATCAAGTCACTGACTAGTGTCAGTAACTTTACAGCAGTCCTCATACTAAGCAAGCATATAGTGACAGTGGAGAGGAAAACTCCCTTTTAACAGGAACAAACCTCCAGAGAATCTTGGCTCAGTATAAGCAGCCATCCTCCACGACTCACTGGGGATCGAGAAGACAGAGCAGACACACACACACACACACCAAGCAATGTGTCCATGGTTACACCGTGATTGCTTAGTAAATATTCTATTTGGCGAGAGATAAACTTTATTGTATTTATCCTAGTGAATCTATTGTTAAACGGGTGAACTAGCAGGAGCACATCCAACATCAAGGAAACAAAAAGTTATTATCAGGAGAGGGAGAATGTTTTAGTGGTTAGCAGCAGTGTGCTAGTCGATGGCCCCCTCCATGAGGCCACCACAACTCAGCAGAACATCACCGTAGCTTCCTCTGGGGAGAAAAACACTTAGAGAAAAAATAATGTTAATAGCTGAAGTAGCAGGAAATAATACAGTTAAAGAGCAGATTGTAGAAGAAAGTAGTAGAGTGTGAATAGTGGTCAGTGTATCCTCCAGCAGTCTAAGCCTATAGCAGCATAACTACAGAGATAACTCAGGATAACCTAGCCTTTTTAGATGGAGGCATGTTGGAGGCAGGGCAAGGGAGAGCCGTCTTTACCGACTGTACACTCCACCTCCCTCTACTCCCCCACTTGTCCAGGTCTAGGCTAACATCAGATTTTAACCATAAGCCCTATCAAATAAAAATGTTTTGAACCTATTCTTAAAAGTAGACAAGGTGTCTGCCTCACGGACTAAGACTGGGAGCTGGTTCTATAGGAGAGGAGCCTGATAACTAAAAGATCTACCTCCCATCCTAATTTTAGATATTCTGGGAACCACCAGTAAACCTGCAGTCTGAGAGCGAAGTGCTCGGTTAGGAACGTATGGAACAATCAGATCACTGATGTATGATGGAGCTTGATTATTAAGAGCTTTATATGTGAGAAGAAGGATCTTAAAATCTATTCCGAATTTAACAGGTAGCCAATGTAAGGAAGCAAAGACAGGAGAGATATGATCTCTCTTTTTAATTCTCATCAGAACTCTAGCTGCAGCATTTTGGACAAGCTGAAGACTTTTAACTACATTCTGTGGACTTCCTGAGAGTAATGAATTACAGTAATCCAGTCTTGATGTAATAGATGCATGAACTAGTTTTTCAGCATCACTCCTGGAAAGGATGCTTCTAATCTTAGCAATATTCTGAAGGTGGAAAAAGGAAATCCTACAAACCTGATTAACCTGGGATTTGAATTACATGTCCTGGTCAAAATAACACCAAGGTTCCTTACTTTGCTCTCGGGGACTAATTTAATGCCATTCAGGTCAGGTGATTGACTAAGCAATTTCCTTTTCTGGATTTCTGGTCCAAAGATGAGAACTTCCGTCTTGTCTTGATTTAAAAGCAAAAAGTTTAGAGTCATCCAGTTGTTTATGTCCTCAAGACAAGCCTGTAACCTACCCAACTGATTAGGTTAATCAGGGTTAATGGATAAATATAACTGAGTATCGTCAGCATAGCAGTGAAAGTTTATCCCATGCTTTCTAATGATTTTACCAATTGGGAGCATATATGTAGTAAAAAGAATTGGTCCAAGCACTGAACCCTGTGGTACTCCACAAGTAACCCTGGAGTATGAAGAAGATTTGTCATGTACATTTACAAAATGAAATCTGTCAGACAGGTAGGATTTAAACCAGCCTAGCACTGTTCCTTTGATCCCTACAACATGTTCAAGTCTTTCTAAAAGAACATTGTGATCAACTGTGTCAAAGGCAGCACTGAGATCTAACAAGACTAGAACAGACACAAGATTCTTATCTGAGGCCATGAGAATATCATTTGTATCTCTCACTAATGCAGTTTCAGTGCTGTGATACTCTCTAAAACCATACTGAAATTCCTCAAACAGATCGTTAGTGTTTAAATGCTCACATACTTGGATGGCCACTATTTTCTCCAGGACTTTGGATAAAAATGGAAGGTTAGATATTGGTCTATAATTCATTGGT